TTATGCACGGAGGTCAGAAGAGGCTGTCAGATCCCCTGGAAATGGAGTTACAGTTGTTAGCTACCATGTGGGTGCTGGGAACTGAACCTGGGTCCTCTGCAAGAGCTATCAGTGCTGTTAACTGCTGAGCCAACTCTCCAGTCCCCAGGAGTTTCTTCTTAAAGTTAAAAAAGAAAAAAACAACTTAGCTATATGTTCACAGTAAATCTGTACATTCTAAGAGACACTTGCCTACCTCAGCCAGCTCTCATTTGCAATACCTAATCCTATGAACACTGAAAAACTTCTGGCACAAATATCTTAGGCCTCTTGTCTTCCAGATCCTCGAGCCTGAACTTCTGAAATTAGAGCTTAAGGATCAAAATAAACCCAAAAGGTAAGGATGAAGATCAGAAAGAAGCAGAAAAAACACTTACTAAATAATCCTTGTTTGTTCTACCTTTCTGATTGGTCCCAGTGTAGCCTGTTATGTCTAATGTGATCCCTACTATGATATAATGTTCCCCCCCTCTTTCTAAGCCCCTCTAGTTTAGACAAGTTGACACAGCATTATTTTTTCTGCTAGCCTGTATCTTTTGACAGCCCCTGAAACACTCATTTTCTTCTTCTAAGTCCTGTTCTGTGGCACAAGAATTATTGAGGAAACATATCGTGAATGATCTTGTAAAGCCAGTGGGTGGAGTAAGGAACTTGCAGTGTTGTTCCCCCCGCACTCCCCCACCCCCAACATCAGGATGCTTTTCTTTCTTCCCTAAGGTAATTTACAGGTAAAGCAGAGTGGGAAAGGTTGACACAGAGTATGTATTGTGTGTAGCAATGCACAAAAAGATAACACCTTGCAAATGTCAAAAATACAGGTTTAATAATGTGCAACTAATGAAGATGGTTTATAAATTAAATACCACCTACACACTTGGTCCCTAAATATATTACGCTATTAGTCACTGAAGTTAGACCTATAAGTACAAATTTTCTGTCTGTGAAAAAGTAATCTGTTTTTAAATTAAAGAGAAATTATTACTTTTTAAAAATAAAACTATCAGAAAATAATTCAAGTGTAGCTGCTCATAGTCACTGAATAAGTTTGATAATAAAACATTTAAGTTTCAACCAATGCACCTTTTTTGAAGCACATTTAGCTGAAATAACTTTTAGTCTGGTTTATTTTCATCACATAGAGTACATTTTTCCAACAAAAACATGTACATTCAATATAGAACATTTCCAGCAACAATTACAGTCTTTCTAATTTCCTTTCACAGTATATTTTAGTGCAAAGCACTGAGAAGGGTAAATGTTTTTCTAGCTAAAGAAGCATTTTATTATGACCTTCTAGATCTTCCACATTTAAAATTTTATACAAAAAGTATATGGATGGACAGGGCTTATTCTAAGTACAGGTGAGAACCTATATAAAAACATTGTATATTTTCTGCAGTACCTTTTAAAATAATTTGACACAAATGACTAAAAAATAAAAGATTCCCTAAAAAGTACAAAATATTGATACATAAAACCCTGCCCAAAATTTCATAAAGATAGATCTATTTCTTTTTCCTAAAATCTTGATTACAAAAAAAATGGACAAGAATTCATTATTTGTTTTTTAATTTTATAGTAGGTATCAAATATTTTCTAAAGTGGTCATTTAAATTTTTTTCTTGGGAGAAAAAGAAAAATCAGGGTTTATAGCCCTCATTTCCTTTTTTAGCAGTATTTAAAGAAAAAAACTAGTAACATAGAAGTGGTTGCACATGGATTGTCTGCATCTACAAAATATCAGCAAGCTATTTATTACCTTCAAATAAACATTACTAAGTGTGTGGTCTTTTAAAAAAAAAGGAACTGAGAAATAAGATTGCATCTATCATTAAAGTGCTTTATATAAAATTTAAAGAAAAATAGGGGAATGTTTAATTTTCATAAAAACCTCAGATGTTTACAAGTGAAAAATGTAATAATGATCTATGCATAAAAATGAACTGAAAACTTTTCTGTAGTATATATTTTAGAATAAAACTTTCAAACATTTAAGTGCTAAGAGAAACATTAATGGATGCAAAATTTATTATAAATATTTAGCCTACTAAATATTTATAATTTGCTGATACTACTTTATCTTTTGATCCTAACATACTCACTAGAAAATCATCTTTATCTATACAATCCAGATGAAAATTTTGCCAAAGAAATGAAACAAAGCTTAAACCACTAAAAATACAAAGTTATGTCAATTGAAAATTATTATTTTCTTCAAGTTGTTGATCATTTTAATCAACAAAGTATTTGGAAAACAAAATTCCCAACATTTTTGTAGAAACTGCAGGCCACATACTTGTGGCAGGGTCAAAGTGGTGAGCTGATGGACTATGAAGACGTTACATAGTGTCACAGCTACAGCAAAGTGCTGGGATAGGCATTGCCTTGGAAACTGGTTAGATGGTTATTATTTTAGTCAGGTATCAGCAGTTACAGATGAAAATTTATGAAAATGTTCTCTTTTTTGTTTTCCTCATAGTACCATGTGAAGACGTTTAGTGGTTCTAACAACAACTTAAAGTCTTTCCACAAAAATGAACTTCAAACCTTTTCGTACATCACTTGAAGTTATCTGAGGAGAAATGGGAATAAATGAACACTTTTGAGTTTACTAATAAAACCTTCGTCTTAAAATTACACAACAGTAAATGACTTCTAAAGGATAGTTTCAGCTCAAGCTTTGCACACAAGTAAAAACAATGTGTGATAATCAAACCACACCATTAACGTACTAAGTAGTCAAACTAAGGATTTTGCTTTAGAACCTGTATCTCAAACTAACTTAATACTAAGAACATTAAATGCCTTATTACAAAGGGGCACAGGTGCTGACACAAACTTTAAAAATATGGAGACTTGTGAATAAGTACAGGGTATCTAGTCCTTATTTTTATATTGCCTTTTAAAAAAACTAATTTGGGCCGGTTGTGGTGGCACACGCCTTTAATCCCAGCCCTTGGGAGGCAGAGGCAAGCGGATCTTTGTGAGTTCAAGGCCAGCATGGTCTACATAGTGAGTTCCAGGACAGCTGGGGCTATAAGGAGACCGTGTCTCAAAAAAAAATCTAATTTGTTCCAAAACCTTCTTTTAAAAGTAGTATTTTTCTTTCTTCCAAATAGAGATTTTACTTTTCTTTTTATGCACAACCACACACAAACATCACTTAATAACACTAACTATGTTGAAATGACCACTAAAAACT